TAGTAGAGGAGCTATAACCTTTAAGTTGAATAACAGAATTGCCACAAGACTGAACAACAAAGGCTCAGAACTGGAAGGTGGTTTCTAATCAGAGCAATAAAGGAGTGACAAGAATAGTATAACTTGGGGATTTTATGCTGCAGTCCCCTGCCAGAGGAAAGAGCTGGAACTGGTGACTCGACATGTCCCTGTGCCCCATGAAGTGGTTATGAGACAGATACCAAAACAGCCAGACCTACCGGGTCAAGTACAGGGGAAATAAGCAGCCCAGGACCCCACAGGAACTGCCTGTCCACACTCCATGTCACTTCATCAGAGTAGAACCTGGGCAAGTAGGAAGGATATAGCAGTTACTGGTTTTTTTATGAACTATACCATCATCATACCAATACTTCAGGGTACTGATTGTCTAGAATCATGACTGAAGAACGTCAGATCAAAATTGCCCCTTTTTTTTTTTTTTAATCTGAGGCAATCTGAAGATGAGAAGGTAAGGTCTTACTGGTTTAGTTAGTATTCGTGTGAAAGTGTAGGTGTGCGTGTGTGTTCTTGACACAGTTTATTCAAGAGTTTCCAGGCAAGGAAACATATATTCTAATATATATATATGATGGTGGAGAATAATTTGACTAGCTGACAATAACATCTTATAGCAACTCGTAAGAGTGACTGACAATAATATATGCGTATATGCAGAAATTACAGATGGTTTCTGATTACTCTTCTGATCATTCCAAAATGGTATTTCATGAATGTAGTTGTCTATATATATTCCAATGTGCATTTTCACAGACTGTGTTTAGATAGTCCCTAACAACATTTAATGTACCTGATTTTTTCTTCATAAAACTATCACTAAGGCTGATGAGTAAACTTACTCATGCAAAACTGGCCGTACAACTGTGTCTCCTTGAGTATGAGCTTTATAAAAGAGCGTATACAGGTAGGGCAGCAAAGTGTAGCGAATATTCAAGTAATACTTGGAGGTTTTCACCAAGACTGAATCAGGTCCAAACACAGCCGGATCCTGAGGCTGAAAACAAATATCAGATTATTATTATTTTCATCATGCAGAAAACACTCTGCCAAACATGTGAAACGTGGCTGCTGTTTCAGAGAGGCAGAAATTCAATGGAGCACATCTGCACGGTGTTTGTCTTCAGGATGGTGTCACCTGAGGTCCTACTCCTCCAGGTTGCCCGTGCTTTGCACTGCACATCCCTCCTTGCCCATCTGGATTGAGGGCACAGCAGGGTTAGCCCAGGTTTCATCCTGGCATGCAATCAGGTGCATGCTAAAAGTCTCCCAAGAGTCAATCTGATGGGTCGCACAGCAGTGTGTGCTTGCCCTTGGTGGTAGGCACAACCAGCGTTGATGAAACTGTTGCCAAACAAGCGTAGTCTCAAGTATATGCAATTAACCCTTATGAAGCTGAACCTCTCGGATCTAGGATTTCATAAAGAGAGCTTAAGGTTCTGCCATTTTCAGACTGGTCAGCCTCATAATCATCAGTGATAGTAATGATTACTAGCGATACTATCAAAGGGAATGTGGTAGTGTAACACAAAGCATTTTGTAAGAGAAAGCACAACTTACTATGAATCCTTCACAATTGTGATTCCTGGAAAATGGGTAAAATGCTCCTACTTGCATCCATCGTCTGCAAAGTTCTTCTGTGGTGTTGTCAAAGAAACCGCAAATGTCTGCTCCAATCTTTAGATAAAAACAGAATATGTTGGATATGCAGTATGCTGGACCTCTAATCTCTACACAAAACTTATAGTTTTCAGAGATGCATTAATTCAACCTTAATTCCTAGCCAGAGTGACCGAGCCATTCAACACATTTGTACCTTTCTTCTTTCAAGTTCAACTATGTTGTAAAAAAAATTAAACTGATTACTAGCTAACACTACCTATTGTTTTATTTCTTCCAAACCTTTACCTTCCTGTTTGGTGCTAATATGCGTACATTAGGAAAAAAGCTCAAAAGTCATACAAATTTAAATCATGGAAAGGAATTTGGCTATTTCCCTTATAAATGGATGTCTCTGTTTTATTTGAAATGATAAGGAAAACAGCAAAGTGTTTCACATTGCTCACTAGTGTTTAAAAATTACTAGAACTAGCAGGTAGCTTGGGATATATAAGATAACATGTTTGTTACCCCCATTTATCTCACTATACACACACAGCCACAGTAATCACAATGTGGCCTAAACCGAAAATGGATAATTGGAAAAAAATGTTAAAACCAGATTCCTAAAGGGGATTTATTTGGAGTTGAAAATGTAATGGTTATCTATTTAACGTTTGATTAGATAGTCTTATCACAGAGGTAGAGTTACTGTTTATCCATATGTTTTGAAAGGACGTCACAAACTAATGTCATACATAAGGAATTCCAAAGAGGTTAAAGTCCAGCATTCCAGGTATTGCCCATTTTATGTGATCCCATGTTGCTGCATTATCTCCCAGCCAGTGCCCTGTGTGCTTTCCTGATCCAGCAAAAGTAGACCTTGAAATAAGGAAGCTTCGTTTTCCAGGAAACAGTGCTTCGATGACTCTTAAAAGGAAACGAGACTAGAGTTATGCAAAGGAAAAAAGACAACTCGGACATCAATAGTTTTATATAAGGCAGTTTTACACTGACTGATTTATAATAATTATTCATCCCAGGGATGGAGACTCCTTTACAGTTAACCAAGTGTCTTTTAGCGAAGTTCAAGACATTAATTTTAAATAATCTTTCTATACAGCTTTGACAACCAATGTGTGACTTTTATTACCAACTTCAGTTAGTAGATTTGCTTAGCTGCATTAGCTTAAATATAATACAGTATTTTCCAGGACTTGGGTTCCTTTAGAAGTGAAATCTATTGCTGTTTTGGAAAATGCAGGCCATGTACTGTTCTGAAACCTTTTTGTAAAGATTTTAGGATGGATTCCTTACTTCTGTGTTGATATGGCCATGGAATATCCATAAAGACTGTGGACATCATAATGTTTCCCCCACTTCTGCACTGCATCCATACAAATCGTCTTGGAAAACATGAGCTTATCAAGAATACCTTCAATAAAGGAATACATATATCACTTTTAAAGCACATTTAGATTCTGACTACTTCCAATCTTTTCTTTAATGCACATTCATGACATTCAAGCCCTCTGTTCTCTTTAATGTTTGCACTAAGGCCAATATTACTGCTACAAAAACAAAATACTGCTCTTGGCTGCTGGTTTGATTCATCTTTGCTCTGTGACCTTTTCTACTCTTGAGCTTTGCACCCATGCAAGGAATAACTGAGAATTACGCTCTAAATTTCTGAATCATTATCTGACAACACGTTGGCAATAGTTACTTAAACCTACTACTTAATACAAACTATGAACTCCATTTTTGTTCTGCAAACATCTCGAAAACTACTGGTAGTGAAAGAAGATCATTATATTATCAGACATAATTAAGACAACAACAATATTCAGTAATAATTTGAAAAGGGAAAAAAGCCAGTTATACAAACCATGCCTTCAGTGAGGGCCAAAGTATACCAGTATTTTCTGACAATAATAATGTTCAAACCCACCCATAAGAAGTACACTAAAATCACTTTGCATCCTGGTAGTCACTTGCACAGTAATTCATAAACTTTTTGATATTTTGCTTTCTGGTTAAAGTAGACGGACTTACTGGGAGTGAAAGGCGGATAGTTTAAGTCATTCTGCGCACAACCATTTTTTGAGCCTTTAATGAAGTTGGATACTTCATTCATATCCTGAAAAGATAAGATGCAAATTGTAATAAAGTTTCCTCAAGTAGGTTTTCCTAACAAAGTCTTACGATCTATTCTCTTACCTTTTAAGGAATAATTACTTAGAACTACTACCATATAATTAGTCATGAATGATATAACTCAGATACTGACCTGGTCCATTCCTGTATTAATATATGTCAGTGTTGGACAGACTTTTATATGCAGGTGAGTGCCATGTCGCAAGAGCTGCACCTTATCCCTCCACAGAAGGAAATTGCAAAAGGTGCTCATTTTCCCTACCTATGACCAACTCCACACATCTCTCAAGGAAATGTCTTTGGTGTGCAGTGTGTGTTTGGAGAGAAATGCAGAACCAGCAAATGTACATTGTGACTTTCTGTCAAAATACACAAGGTGACTAGCTATTCTTAAACATCTCCTGTATAATACTTTCCAAGCCGTTATACATTCAAACTTTGCTGTCTCCTTCCATGAATATTTTATTTGGCAGTGCTGTAAGTGCATTTCTATGTACATCCCTGAACGTGCTGCAGGAAGAACATGCATGGAAGAAGAGAGCATCATGGAGGCACTGCAGTCTAGTGACCAATTTGCTTCACTCAAATTATTTGCTCTCTGTAAGAAAGCTGTGCAGTCTTACACTTCATAGCTTGACTTGATGGAACCACAGAGTAAGCAAAAATAAGTGAGAAAAACTCATTCTATCACATAGCAGCTGAACGACTGTATTTTGCCATACAGGTTAATTTAAAATTGTTACAGCTTTTTAAAATACATGGCAAAATATTCAATAGATTCTTGTTTTCTTTTGAAATATTTATTTATTTTTAAGTAAAAGGAAGTAGGAAAAACACAAAAAGAATAAAGGGAAGAAGGCCCTGAGGCAGGGATTGAGAAGTTTAAGTACAGATTTCCTTCAGGCACTCACTTTTAGCAGTTTTATTATGGGATATTCCTTTAAAAAACTAATCTAGTCAGTCAAAATGTTTCTTAATCTCATCTGATTCCCATGAACTGTACCTAAAATCCACTGTGCCAGACTCTATTTTAGTCCTTTTGTGGGAGAACCTGTCTAGGGAGCCTGATTTTTCCAAATCCTTATCTGGAATAACAATTGCAGATTCACTAACTGGAAATTCCATGAGCTACTTGGAGCAAAGATACATAGGTTATATGTATTATACCCTGTATTCAGGAGCTGTTCATTCACTGAGCAGGTATGCAGGTCTCCAAACATTGCCATTCTGAGTACAGAAGCGTGCTAGCATTTGCCTTTAGCAATGGTTCATCAATTGAAGCATTTTAAAGTGTCACTAAACATCCAAAAAACAGCACATTGATCATTTAAAAGCTACGATTAAAGATTCAAATTAAAGTTTAAAATTCAAATTTGAATTGTAAATTCAACAGAAGACATACACATCCTGCGCTGATTTCAGGTTAGTAATAGTAAACATCCCTTTCAAATTCAATGCACATTGAATTTGATAAACATCTATCCTTGCTTATTTTTAAAAATAAAAATAAAAATGAAAGTTCTGAATTACTTACAATCCAGATTCCATCATATGGCACTACGTTATAAAACAGTTTGCATTCTTCCACCCACCAGCTAGTGCAGTCTGGGTTGGTGAAGTCTGGGAAAACAGTTTCCCCTGGCCACACCTGCAATATTAAAAGGGAAATAATTAATTAAACTTTCAATGATATTAAAAAGAGTTCATAGAATCATAGAACAGCCCAGGTTGGAAGGAACCTAGAAAGATCATCTGGTCCCACCTTTCATAGGAAAGAGAACCCAGATGAGATCATCTAGCACCCTGTCCAATCGCATCTTGAAAACCTCCAGTGATGGGGACTCTACCACGTCCCTGGGGAGGGTGTTCCAGTGATTGATTGTTCTCACTGTAAAAAATTTCCAGTGCAACTTGTACCCGTTGCCCTCGTATTCTCCGTGGGGCTCCTTGTGAAGAGAGAGCCTCTGTCCTCTTTGTAGCTGCCATTTAAGTACTGGAATACTGTGATGAAGCCCCCTATGAGCCTTCTCTTCTCTAGGAGAAAAGACCTAAGTCCTTCAGTCTTTCCTAATAGGGCAGGTTCTCCAGCCCTTTGATCGTCTTCGTGGCCCTCCTTTGGATCCTCTCCAGTCTGTCTGCGTCTTTTTTGAATTGTGGGGACCAGAACTGGACACAGTACTCCAGGTGCATCTTGACAAGTGCTGAGTAGAGTGGGACGACTCTATCTCTGCTAGTAATGCCCCGTGAATGAAGCCTGGGATCTGATTTGTCCCATAGCTAGCCATCAAGGGCAGTCCTAATATAGCGCTCCGATGAAGACTTTTGAACGACAAACTGCTAGAGTGACAATAGCTTGTGTGCAGAAAGAGTATGAGTTTCTTAATTTTGGAGTTTTCAATTGCTTTTCTTTTAAGTCATACAAGGAACAGTACACAACAGAAAAATTTCTCAATAGAAGTTAAAATTATTAATTAAAAGGATAATGTGGGAGTTGGCTCTTCAGTCACTATTGAAAATAAATAGGAGCTGGATGATGACTTGTCCCTTGAGACTTCAAGTTACCCTAGTTTTCCTTTTTGTTTAATGTAAAAAATGGCCCAAAAAAAAAAAAAAAATCAAGAAAGTTTGAGAAGTACCATATCCTAAATGAGACCTTATAAACTCTGTTCTCGCTGGCAGGTAATTTTACTGAAAGAAGCAACTCAGAAAATGAGAGTTTAAAGGGAGCCCCCGACCTAAACTAAACCGTAACAGTGACAATAGACCAAGTTCAAATTCATAAAAATGCAATTACCTCCCCAAGTAATGCTGTTACTCCATCTGATTCATTAACCCAGACTTTTTTTCTCTCTCCCCTGACGTAGCTTCCATATGGGCTACCGTCAACTAGATTTTGTATGCTAATAGCAGGATCCTAAAAAAAAATTAGAAAACAAAAAAATAAGAAGAAACCAGGGTACATTCCATCAATTATTATAGACTACTAGAATGTTAGGCAATAGATGTAATAATTACATAGAATAAGCAAAGAATAATAATAAATAGTTATTTATAAAATATAAAAAGTTAT